ATTATCCATGTTTTACCAAGGAGGAAACTGAGGCCTTTGGAGATTACATCATTTAGCCTATGTACCAGAGCTGGAAAGTTGCATAACCAAGATTTCACTCGAGCTTTTTTTAGTTCCACATCTTCTATTTTTTCAGCTACACCAAAACGACTTCTTGAATTTAGCTTTGCCTTTCTGATAATAGTAACCACCACCTTTTATTGAGCATCTTGTCATGTGAGCCAGGCATTATACATCCATTATTTCCAATCCCAGTAGAACCTTATAAAGTATCATTGTCCCCGTTTCACAGTTGAAGAACCTGAGGTCCGGAGAGGTCAGGAATTTTGCCTAACAGGTTTCGTCTGAGACTAGAGTGAGCTCTCAGCTATCATCCTATACTTCCTTCATTCCTTACCTTTTCAGATTCCTAGGAGGAAAGGACTCAAAAAAATTACGCATGAATTTCCTTTAATTTCACAACAACCCTAAGGGTTGGGGGTTGATATCTCTGTTTTACAAAAGAAGAAACTGAGGCTCAGAGATGTTAAGTGATTTTCTCAGCATTATACAGCTAGCAATTGGTGGAGCCCCGATTCATACAGGCTCTGATCCATAGCTTACTTGCCTCCCCCATTCCCACCCCTCACCCCCTTTCAGCTCTGTCTCATTGCAATTGGGGCAGAGAATCCAGCCTTTATTTCTCCAGGTACTAGTAGTCCTGGGAGTCTGGGGGATTTCCAGCTCCTTTGAATTCCCTCTTTTGGCCTCTGCTCTGCCTCCAGCACCTCTCTTAAGAGTCCTTTTCACTGTTGTCATAGCAAGGGTCTCATCTGGAGGGAAGCTGCCTTGAGGTTGGAACTATTCAGCTGCTTATCAGCAAGGCTTCAGGGCCTTGCCATAGCAACCTTCCAAGCCACCCATCTTGTGACCTGTTCTGACTCAGTGCCCCTGGGAATCCCCTGGTTACAGATGTCTGCAGTGACTAGGATGCAGCAGTCGGCTCCCAGGACTGTTTTTCTGGCCAAGGCCATTTTTAGGAAGGCTTCTGTTCCAGCTGTGCTGGGAGAGTTGAGGTCCAGAGCCTCCAGACCTTAAGAATGCAGGGTTATGTGATGTCTAGAGCTGGGGTTTTTAGCTAGGGCTTATGGGTAGGCGTTAGGGCTTTAAGAGCCCCCTGTAATCATAGGTATGGTTACACACACACACGCAGAGAATATATCCTTTTCTGGGCAAAGTATCCGTAGCTTCCCTCAAACTCTCAAATGTGTCTGTGACCCTTAAAGTTTAAGAACACTGGTCTAGAGAGAATCCAAAGTGTTGTGGGCCACTGTGCTCCCTTGGCCACCAGCCTCTCGGATGCCAGCATCTTGAGAGCACACCAGGCCTCTAGTGTTTCTGCTTAGGCATGAACTGGGATACAGTATCAAATATTGCTGACGTTCACAATTATAACTGTAAATGTACAGCTGTCCTTTGGGATGCCCCAAGTACTTTTTTTTTTTTTTTTAATTGAGATGGAGTTTCGCTCTGTTGCCCAGGCTGGGGTACAGTGGCGTGATCTCGGCTTACTGCAACCTCTACCTCCCGGGTTCAAGCGATTCTTCTGCCTCAGCCTCCTGAGTAACAGGGATTACAGGTGTGCACCACCACGCCCAGCTAATTTTTGTATTTTTAGTAGAGATGGGGTTTCATCATGTTGGTCAAGCTGGTCTCGAACGCCTGACCTCATGATCCGCCCGCCTCAGCCTCCCAAAGTGCTGGGATTACAGGCGTGAGCCACCACATCCAGCGCCCCAAGTACTTTTTATGCTGTAAAAGTACAACCGTGCTGTGGGATGCCCCAAGTATAACCATGAAAATGCACGCTCAGCACCCCAGACATGCCAGCATGTTTGAACATAGTGTATTCACCCCATAAGTGGTAGCTATTTTTTTATTTTATTAAATTTTAAATAAATTAATTTTAAATACATTTTTGTTTTGTTTTACTCTTATCATTGTTATTATTTATTTGGTCAGGAGCCAGGACTCAGGTGGTTATTTAGTCACTGAGTGATTAAAATCTGTATGTCAGGAGCTGTGCTATATTTCGAAGACACAGTGACAAACAAGAAAGGCAGGGTACCTACCCTCTTGGAATCAGTTGGAACGGCAGATAATGAGCAAATGTATCAGCATCATGCCTGGCTCACGGGACATTTCTGTGTGTATTTGTTGAATGACTGTTGAATGAATTTCGACTGTGGTTATTATTAGGAAGAAGTCAAGGTGCTGCAGGTGGCAGACAAGGAAACTTCATCTCTTCTGGTGGGTCAGGGAAGAGGAAGGGGGACTCAGGCTAAGGGGCCTATGCCATGGGCCACCAGGAGTTACACAGGACTGTTCACAGGGGGCTGGCAGTCCCATGAAGACTCAGTATCTGGAGGTGTGGGGTCGAGGCCTGGAATACTGAACAACCAAGGGCTTAGGAACCTTGTGTAAACTATGATAATGTGGGCCAGAGGTACGGATGACATCTACAGTCTGCTCAAGTAGTGATAGTCCCTGGCTTGCAAACATGTTGCTCTTCCAGGTTCCAAGGGAGGCTGTTGTTCAACCAGTATTTACCTATGTAGCGAGTTCTGGGTTCAGAACCCTACTTCTGTCAGGAGGCAGGAAGGATGGAAGGACATCCTTCCTGCAGCCGGAGGCAGCAGGGCCCCAGCCACTGCTGGCAGTGGCCATGGACACACAGTGCAGTGTCTGAGCAGTGTGTGAAGACACTCGCTCACTGTCTGAAGGGCTTCACTCACCCTCCACTAGTGAGAAGCCTCTGAATATTGGTATGGAAGGGAAGCATTCACATATTAAGGGTAAAATCAAAGTCAGAACAAAATTCAAAGTCTGCTCTTGGCCCTCAAGACCCTGAAAGGCCCCAGTGACTGTAATTCCACTCACCTCCTTTCCCTCTCACCGCTCCCCAGCCCCACAGCCTCTACTGGTCTTTCTGGTCAGCAGGCTCCCCTTGCCTCTTGCATGCTGTGCTCTCTGCCTGGCATACTTAGATGTGTAAACAGAAGTGGTTTCTAAACTCCTCTCTCTCATCATGTGTGTGGACTGTGATACCCAACCATCAGTAACAGCAGCTGATGAGGACAGTGATCATTAGCTAGAGAGCGCACCCTCGGTCCCCCCACTCGGCATTATTAGAATAATAATAATCCCCCACCAGGTCCCCTCACCTAGCATTATTAGAATAATAATAATCCCCCACCAGGACTCCCCACCTGGCTTTATTAGAATTACTATTAGAAACTGTCCTGTAGTGATTCTGGCAATTGTGATTTGTGCCCCCTTACTACCACTAGTTAAAAATTGCGGGTTTATGAACTGAGCTCCCTAGCTAGACCATGGACTTCCCTCACGTGTACAATGGTATCTTACTCTTTTTGTATCTGTGGCATCTAGTCCCAAGCCCAGTATACACTGAGGGATCAGTAAAATTTTTCTGAAGGAATGGATGAATACTATAGAGATAATCTCTTGCTTCTTTTCATTCTCCACAGTGTATTTTGGAGATGCATTTTATAGAATTCTAGAGGAACTAGATTGACACAAACTCTCTTCAACCCATGAAAGTCTGTGCTTCCACGGAGGTCTCTGGAAAGCAGCAAAACAGTCCAGCTGCATCACTGCTTGGTGGCCGGGCATGCTGGGTCCTCCCCAGGCCTCCTGCTGTGGATGTATGATCTAAACTTGCCCAGGCTCAGATACACAGCACGGTTCTCAGAGAGTGGCAGTCTCCATCCTACTGTGAAGGGATGGGCAGTTTTCCAAGGACTTCCTTGCTTTCCTGCCCTTCCTTCAGAGCTAGAAGTCTCTTACCTCCCTTACCCCCGAGCTAGAAGTAATGTTAGAGATTGCTTCGGTTATCCACTCCTGAGTAATCCATCACCCCTGTTACTCAATGGTTTAAAACAGCAGCAATAGTTTCTTATATCTCATGGTTCCTGTGGGTCAGGAATTTGGGAACAACTTGGCTGGGCAGTTCTGGCTTGGATCTTTCATGCAGTTGCAGTTAGATGGTGACTGGAACTGGGGCAGCTTGGGGCCGGCATCGCTGGATGCTGGCCGGCTGCTGCTCTTTCCAAGCCGTCTCAGGACCTCTGCCCTGTGGTTACTTCATAGGCCTGTTTGGGCTTCCTCACGGCATGGCCACCTGAGATTTCCCATATACAGCTCAAAGCTCTAGAGGCAGGTGTCCCCAGAGAGAGCCAGGTGAAAGCTATGTAACCCTTTATAGCCTCATCTTGGAGGTGACACAAAATCATTTTTGTTGCATTCTATTTGTTAGAGGTCACTAAGGCCAGCTCATTTGGGGAAATTGAAATTAAACTCTACCTCCTGAGAAGAGGAATGTCAGATAATTTGCAGACCTGTTTCAGAACCACCACAGAGATACCCAGTTTCCCCCTTCATTCCACACTTGAGACTCCTGAGGTTTGAGGGGAAGAGCCTTGTCCAGAGGTGCCCAGCCTGGCATGGGCAGACCTGGAGTGTGGCCCAGCCCCTAGGCCTTAGGCAGGGCTGCCAGGAAGTGATCTCACTTTCCCTTCCTTCCTGTCCCCTCACAGTAAGATAGAGACTGCCACTCTCTGGGAACCTTGCTGTGTAGCTGAGCCTCAGCAAGTTTGATAATACAGACACAGCAGGAGGCCTGGGGAGGACCCAGCATGCCCGGCCACCAAGCAGTGATGCAGCTGGACTGTTCTTCAGCTTTCCAGAGACCTCCTGGAAGCACAGACTTTCAGGGGTTGAAGAGAGTTTGTGTCACAATTCCAGTCCCTAGCCCTGGCCCTACATGAAATAGTAACACCACCCTGCCAGGAGGATGTAGCTGCTGAGGAGGTAAGCGTTTTAAAAAATTCATGCCCCAAAATAATTATTTTTACTGTTGCTGTAAAAAATAATTATTTTTACTGTTAAATACCAAAGAGTAGAATGTGGTGGTAGAATCAAGAGAATCAACCCAGCATCACTGAAAAGATTCTGAAGGTTTGTATCCAGCTGAATATCCAAAACAGGAGGTTGCATAAGCATGGGTAAAACCATCTCGGTGTATGTTTTAGACAGCCTTGTAGAACGTTTTCCAGGGACTTGCTTACTTTCTTCCTCTTCCTTCAGAAATGCCTTGTTATGAAGCTGGGGACAGGGGAAAAAGAAGGTCGGAAAAGGGAATGGGTACTTTTCAGTAAACCCATACTACATGCCAGGCATGATACTAATTCACTCCCCTGCTTTATAACCTAATAGCACAGGCTCCATCTGGCTCCACACTCCTTGGGTATATGGCCTTGGGCAAGCTCCTTAACCTTGCTGAGTTTCAGCTGCCTCTTTTGTACTACAGGATAATTATATGTTCTATGTCATAGAGTTACTATAAAATTAAATGCTTGTAAGATGCTTAGCACAGTCTGGCATGCAGTAAGAAAGAAGTGTATAACAGGCGGGGCACCATGGCTCAAGCCTGTAGTCCCAGCACTTTAGGAGGCTGAGGCGGGCGGATCACGAGGTCAAGAGATCGAGACCATCCTGGCCAACATGGTGAAACCCCACCTCTACTGAAAATACAAAAATTAGCTGGACGTGGTGGTGCACGCCTGTAGTCCCAGCTACTTGGGAGGCTGAGGCAGGAGAATCGCTTGAACCTGGGAGGCGGAGGTTGCAGTGAACCAAGATCGTGCCACTCCACTCCAGCCTAGTGACAGAGCGAGACTCCATCTCAAAAAAAAAAAAAAAAAAAAGAATATAACTGTTGGCTCCAATTAATCCCCGCAGCCACTTTTTAAGGCAGGTGTAAGCCCTCCAATTTTACAGAAGGGGTGTCTGCAGTCAAGTGAGGTGCCCAGCACCATGTGCCGCTATAGGGACAACAGCTGAGATTCTGAAATCCTTGTGGCGTCCACCACACCGCATTAGCCTCCGGGCAGCTCTGCCAGGGCTTTCCTGACATGCAGTAGTTGGAGGCAGAGGAACTCAGGAGGCTTCGTGCCCTACAGGAGCCCATGTCAGGTCCTAGAGCAAGAACATTTGGAAAACCAAGGCCAGGAATCCACTTATCCACTTAGGAGGCTCTTTAGGGAGCGGGGTTACAGAGAATGTTGTACACAGAGGAAATAGTCTAGTAAAGGCTTTGAGGTCAGGAATTAAATGAGGTTTGAGGATTTAAAGAGAGGCCCAGTGTGACCAGAGCAAAATGGACCAAGAAGAGAGCAGAAATGAGACAAAGGCTCATCTGCAGAGGCAGGCAGGGCCAGATCCTTGTAGGACTTCAGGGGCTGGCATCAGGAGTGTGGATTTCACTAGATGTGAAATAGAAAAGCATCAGAGATTGAACAAAGCAGGGAAATTCCAATGACCCAATTTCCATTTTGAGAACATTACCCTGCCTGCCATATAGAATGCAGACCCTGGGCTAGGGATGAGAGAGACACAGGACTCTGACTCTGGTCAGGGTCTCTGCTGAGAGTCCTGGTGAGACATCCTGGAGCCTGGGTGGTGCGTGTGGAGGAGCGAGGTCAGCAGATTCAAGCTCTGTTTTGCAGGTAGAAACAAAAGGACTAGGCTGGGCACTGTTGCTCATGCCTGTAATCCCAGCTCTTTGGGAGGCCAAGGTGGGAGGATTGCTTGAGGCCAGGAATTTAAGACTAGGCTGGGCAGCATTGTGAGACCCTGTCTCTACAAAAACATAAAAAAGAAAAAACAAATAACAGGACTTGGTAAAGAATTGTCAATGGGTGGTGAAGAAGAAGGGAGGTCAGGGGTGGCTGCGGGTTTCCAGCTGGGCAGATGGTGGTGCTCTTGCTCAGCTGGGAAGGCCAGGGCGAGCAGGCTGGTGACTTGCCGTCTGAAGCTTGCAGTGCTGGTGGGATAGCCAAATGACACGCTCAATAGGCTGTCACAAATCTAGACTTTTAAGAGAGGGTTGGGGCTCTTTGAGGGTCACCAACGTAGATTATTTCAGGGAAAGGATAAGAGCCCCTAGGGAGAAAACAGAAGAGACTGGCATCCTAACACAAAGGTACCGGCAGTAGCAGGTGCCTGTGCGGAGTGGTTGGAGGGAGGCCCAAAGGGTGTGGTGTCTGGAAGTCCGATGAGGAGAGTGGTCCGAGAAGAAATGAGTTGGAAGAGGAGGACAGAAAGGTGTCCCTGGGGATAGGCAGCGTAGAAGTCACTCAGGACCTTGTCTGACCCCAGCACCCTGCCCTTCCCTCCCTATCACTGCCTGCATCCAGGCCTGCTTGGGTCTAGGCCTGGCAGGTGCAGAGACCAAGGCCCGGCCTCTCTGCCTCCAAACAAAGCCTCACCCAGGGCCACTCTTTGAATGGCAGCAGGCACTGCCCAGGCAGGCATCAGGCTCCTCTCTGGTGACCTTGTATTGGATGTGCCCCTAAGGCGCTGGGTAGGGCTTTGCAGCCAGCCCCGGGCAGGCCACACATGGCTAGAACCAGCAGCCCTCCCTTTTCCCAGGTTCGTGGAATGTTCTCATTTTGGGGCCCTGAGTTTTCTGTTGGCCTCAGTGCCTCTCTTTTCTGGCTTTCCATCACAGAGAGAAGCCGCTACCCTTGGAATTTGATGAATGCCTGTTCAATAGGCCCTGGCATTTCTGTTTCCACGGCCCTTTCGTCCCTCAGAGAAGCCTTAGAGAACATTTTGCCCACCCCTGATAAAACTTCTCCCATGAGACCAAGTCCCACTTCTGTGCTTCATGTCTTCTGCAAAAGTCTGTTTGCTTTTTGTGTGTTTTCTGCAAATACTGAATTTTTGAAAAAGAAAAAAAAAAGCAAAACAGGAAATGACCTTTCTAGTATATTTGGAAAACAATTTGAAGCTTGTAATGGAATCTGCCTGAGCAATGAGGACTAATAGCTGCAGACTTGGAACAGACCATGTAGCTCTTGGCAGATACTGGGGCCTCTTCAGTTTACAAAGCTGGGGGGAGTTATTACAAACCCACTGGAGAAGTGGCTTCCTGTGGGGAAATGCCCAGAGCAGGCACCTGCAAGCACCATAACCTCTGACCCCAGGGCCCCAAAAGGTCTGGGGACAGAGTATAAGGGCTTCACCCTTTGTCCTGGGCATTCAAGGTCAGTCACATGTCTGGCAATCATCCAGATCCCATAAGACACCAAAACCTCCTGAGGATGAGGAAAAGAAAGAGCTTCGTTCTTTAGCACCCCGTAGGGCTCAGGCTGAGCTAAGAGATTCTAGATTGTTTTTAGACTCAAATTGCCTGTTGGCTTTCTGGGTCACTCTCTATCCAACTTTTCTGTAGATTTCAGCAAAAACCACCTCCTCAGAGAGGCCTTTCCTGATCATGCAGCCATTAACTGAATGATCCACATGCAGAGAACCCTGTCCTCTTCTCCCATAGCTCATATCATAATCTGTGATGATAGATCCATTGACTTGTTCAGTGCCTTTTTCTCTTTACACATTGTAAATATCTTTTTTAGTTTCCAGTATATACCCTGTGCCTGGCACAGTGCCTGGCATATAGAAGTTGCTCAGTACATTGAATGAATAAATGAAATATCAAGACTGGAAGACTTAGAGACCAGATGCAATGACTCATGCCTATAATCTCAACACTTCGGGAGGCCGAGGCAGGTGGATCACTTGAGGTCAGGAGTTCAAGATTAACCTGGCCAACATGGTGAAACCCCATCTCTATTTTTTTTTTTTTTTTTTTTTTGAGACGGAGTCTCGCTCTGTCGCCCAGGCTGGAGTGCAGTGGCCAGATCTCAGCTCACTGCAAGCTCCGCCTCCCGGGTTCACGCCATTCTCCGGCCTCAGCCTCCCGAGTAGCTGGGACTACAGGCGCCGCCACCACGCCCGGCTAATTTTTTTGTATTTTTAGTGGAGACGGGGTTTCATTGTGTTAGCCAGGCTGGTCTCGATCTCCTGACCTCGTGATCCGCCCGTCTCGGCCTCCCAAAGTGCTGGGATTACAGGCTTGAGCCACCGCGCCCGGCCAACCCCATCTCTATTAAAAATACAAAAAGAAAATTAGCCGGGTGTGGTGGTGCATGCTTGTAATCCCAGCTGCTTGGGAGGCTGAGGCAGGAGAAGCACTTGAACCAGGGAGGCGGAGGTTGCAGTAAGCGGAGATCATGCCACTGCACTCCAACCTGGGCGACAGAGTAAGACCCCATCTCAAAAAAAAAAAAAAAAAAAAAAAGCCTGGAAGACTTGGAGATCATATTTCAAATTTTGTTATTTAGATGGTGGGAAAGGAAGCTGAGAGAGAGAAGGGGACTCTTCAGGGGTCACCCTACTGCACGGGTATTGAACCAGATCTTCAGCCACTGTTATGATGCAGGGCCGCACATTCTTTGCTCTTCTTTCCCTGTAATCTAGAACGTCTTCTATTATTAACTCGTTCATCAACTATTCATTGAGCTTCAAGTATGTGCAGGGCCTTCTGGACATATAACAGTAATCACGCCAGTCAGGGTCACCACTTCTGGGGAATTTATATTCTTACCACGCAACGCCATAAAGCACCAGAGAAGGAAGTTTTAATCTTCTGTAGCACCATTAAACAGAGTAAAAATAAAGGAGCTGAATGAAAATCCAAAGGCAGGTTTTACTAACTCAGCCTCCAAATGAACCATCCTAATCATTTATTAATTGAATTCCGCTTACATTCCCCATCACTTACTACACTTTTTGCATCACCATATTATTGAATCTTCATAACAGCCCCCTGCACTGCAGGGTGTGACTGTTAGCCCCACTTTGCTGAGGTGAGGGGACTTGTGCACGGCCTCACAGCTGGTCAACAGCAAAGCTGGGCTGGACGAGCACCCTAGATGCCCTCTGCCCTGCCACCCATTCCCCTCAGAGATTTGTAATGTCATCAGGGACTCCCAAGGGGGCCGTGTGATGTGGGGAAAAGAGCTCTGGACCAGGAGTTAAGACTGCTAGATCAAGAACCCTAGGCAAGTCCCTTGCCCTTTCTGAGCCTCCGTTTCTGCAGCTGTTGATGAGAGGCTTGTCTAGATGAGCTCTGGGATGTCTTTCGGTTAGATTCTACAACAACTTTTCATTAATTGAACAGGTATTTGCCCTGTGATGGTCCTGAATGAATCAAAGCTGTCTCCCTGCTGGAGATAGGTCATGGACTGTTGGAAGTGAAGACTCAGAAATCAGGAGAGAAGACTGTAGACCCATGTGTTAGGGCATATTAGCAATCATATATTGAGAACATCCTTCCATGCCAGTATACATAAATGGATCCAAATGCTTCTTTTTAATCATTGAAGGTTCCTGAGCTGAGCATGAGGATGAGCCAGCTGATGTTGGGGAATGTCCCTCTTGAAGTAGAGGACAGAAGGCTTGAGGATGAATTGGGGGTGGGGGATGAGGAATAAGTGAGAAGACTGGGGACAGAAAAACCAGTTGGGGAAGGTTGTAATCGAGTGGATAGAGATGATGAAGCCTAACTGAGGCCATGATTACTGCGTGGAGCAAATGGGAGGATGGACCTGAAGAGAGAAAATAATTGAACCTGGGTAATTGAGCTTTAAGGTGCGGGATGCCTTCTTAAAGAGAGGAAGAAGTCAGGCATGTGTTACGGGTAATAGGTTTTTGACTTGCATAATTGATTGTGGAGGTGGCTCCTGACTAAGAGAATGAATGAGAGAGAGTCCTGGAGGAGGGAGAGCATAATTTTGTTGATATCCTCCGGGAAGATTCATCTAGATGTCTGCAGCTCAGCAGTGAGAGGATCGACATTGAAATGAATGGAAGATAATGTCATGAGAGAGAATGAGATGTGTGGAACAATTAGAGAAACATTAGAAGACAGTAAAGGATGGAACTAAGGGGGTATACAAGTAGTCAAGGTGTTGGACTAGGAGACCGTATAAGAGCATTCTAAGAAGTTGAAGGCAGTTGCTTTACTGCCTGAGCCTCAGTTTCCTCATTTCTAAAATGAGGATTTTAGAATAGTGCGTACTCATTGTGTTTAGGGTTACATGAGAGAATGTGTGGAAGGCACTTACCTTGCACATCAGAAGTAGAACTCATTCAATAATTCATCATTCATTCTGCAAGTAAGAGTCAAGCACCAGCATATGCCAGGCTCTGGGCCAGCCCTTTGGAGTACACAGAGGAGCAAAAGGGAAATCTGAGTGCCTGACCTCGTGGGAGAGGAACTGTGAAAGAAAGAAGACTCAGTATCATAAAAATGTGATTTCTGTCTACATTCAGGTACCAGATATTACTGTATATATTTAGTGCAGTCCTGATAAATACAAGAGAAATTGGGGGACAAGTTAAATGACTATTTAGTTCATTAGAAAACATAGACCAGCAAAAACAGCCAGAGAAAAAAAATCTAAAGTCAAAAAAGATTTGAGCTATCTATGAGAAGGAAACCATTCTACAGTTTTTTTTGGTTTTTTGTTTTTTTTTTTTTTTGAGACGGAGTCTGGCTCTGTCACCCAGGCTGGAGTGCAGTGGCGCGATCTCGGCTCACTGCAAGCTCCGCCTCCCGGGTTTACGCCATTCTCCTGCCTCAGCCTCCCGAGTAGCTGGGACTACAGGCGCCCGCCACCTCGCCCGGCTAGTTTTTTGTATTTTTTAGTAGAGACGGGGTTTCACCGTGTTAGCCAGGATGGTCTCGATCTCCCGACCTCGTGATCCGCCCGTCTCGGCCTCCCAAAGTGCTGGGATTACAGGCTTGAGCCACCGCGCCCGGCCTCTACAGTTATTTTTTTAATTTAAAGCTAATGTAGGCCAGGCGCGGTGGCTCAAGCCTGTAATCCCAGCACTTTGGGAGGCCGAGACGGGCGGATCACGAGGTCGGGAGATCGAGACCATCCTGGCTAACACGGTGAAACCCCGTCTCTACTAAAAAAAATACAAAAAACTAGCCGGGCGAGGTGGCGGGCGCCTGTAGTCCCAGCTACTCGGGAGGCTGAGGCAGGAGAATGGCGTGAACCCGGGAGGCGGAGCTTGCAGTGAGCTGAGATCCGGCCACTGCACTCCAGCCTGGGCGACAGAGCGAGACTCCGTCTCAAAAATAAATAAATAAATAAATAAATAAAAATAAAAATAAATAAAGCTAATGTAATAGAAAACATGATACTAGTACATGAGTAGACACATCAGCTGGAGAGATTAAAAGATTCAGAAACAGACCCCAATAGACAGTTTTGTATGTAACAATGGTAGCTTTTCACATCAATGAGGAAATGATGGATTACTCCACAAATGATTTGAGATAGGTAGAAAAAATTAAGGTGGCTCTCTAACTCATACCTTATTACAGATAAATTCTAGATCAATCAAAGATTTAAATATGAAAAGGGAAGCCATAAAAGTACTAGAGGCCAGGCGTGGTGGCTCACACCTGTAATCCCAGTAGTTTGGGAGGCTCAGGCAGGAATATCACTTGAGCCCAGGAGTTCAGAACCAGCCTGGGCAACATAGTGAGACCCCATCTCTTAAAAGAAAAACAAAAAAAGGGAATTGGCTGGGCACTTTAGCATGCACCTGTAGTCCCGTCCCAGCTACTCAGGAAGCTAAGCTAGGAGGATCCCTTGAACCCAGGAGTTCAAGGTTGCTGTGAGCTAAGCTGGCACCACTGCATTCCAGCCTGGGTGACTCCAGACCCTGTCTCAAAAAACAAAGTACCAAAAATAAACAAGGGATTTCTTTACTAATCTTAGAGTGGGGAAGACATTTCTGATTATGTTCCAAAGCCCAGAAACCATAAAATAAAGATCAATTTTACTAATGAATATAAAAAAGATGTGTGTGGGAAGTGCCGAAAATAAAGTCAAAGTACAAATGACAAGTAAAAAATACTAGTAGCTCCCAATTAGACAAAAGACTAATTGCCTTAATATATTAAGAACTCCTACAAATCAATAAGAAAAAAACCTAAAATCCATTAGAAATGGGCAAAAGGATTTGAAGAAACAGTAAACAGAAAAGGAGATGCATATGGGAAGATGCTCAGGTTCACTCCTAGGAGCAGTAGGAACTAAAACAATCAGGCACTGGTTTTAAAACCATTTTTTAGATTAGGAACAAAACAGCATTAAGAAGACTGTGGTGAAGCAAAGTGCTCATCTGATATACCTACTGGGAATTGCTATGGTTTGAATGTGTTCCCTCCAAAATACCAATGTGATAGTATTAAGAGGTAGGGCCTTTAAGAGGTGATGAGGTCATGTGGTCTCCTTCCTTGTGAATGGGATTAGGCACCTTTTATAAAAGGGCTTGAGGCCAGGCACGGTGGCTCATGCTTGTAATCCCGGCACTTTGGGAGGCTGAGGCCGCCGGATCACCCGAAGTCAGGAATTCAAGACCAGCCTGGCCAACATGATGAAACCTCATCTCTCCTAAAAATACAAAAATTAGCTGGGTGTGGTGGTGCACACCTGTAATCCCAGCTACTTGGGAGGCTGAGGCAGGAGAATCCCTTGAATCCAGGAGGAGGAGGTTGTAGTGACCATGCCACTGCATTCTAGCATGGGCATCAGAACGTGACTCCATCGAATAAATAAATAACAAATAAATGGGCTTGAGGGAGTGCGTTTGCCCCTTTTTGCCTTTCTGCCAGTTGCCCTGTGAGAACACAGTGTTTAAGGTGCCCTCTTGGAAGCAGAGAGCAGGCCTCACCACAGGCTGGCGCCTTGATCTTGGACATCCCAGCCTCCAGAACTGTGTGAAATAAATTTCTGTTCTTTGGAAATTACTGAGACTTGGCCGGGCACAGTGGCTCACGCCTGTAATCCCAGCACTTTGGAAGGCCGAGGCGGGCGGATCACGAGATCAGGAGATCGAGACCATCCTGGCTAACACAGTGAAACCCTGTCTCTACTAAAAATACAAAAAATTAGCCGGGCGTGGTGGCGGGCGCCTGTAGTCCCAGCTACTCGGGAGGCTGAGGCAGGAGAATGGCGTGAACCCAGGAGGCAGAGCTTGCAGCGAGCAGAGATCGCGCCACTGCACTCCAGCCTGGGCAACAGAGCGAGACTCCGTCTCAAAAAAAAATAAAGAAAAAAAAAGAAAGTACTGAGGCTCAGATATTTTGTTGTAGCAGCACAAAACGGACTGAGAGATAGGAACTAACTTCTGTGGGGAGAATTTGGCAGTACCTATTATAATAAAAAAGTCACAGATCCTTTGAGGTGGCAATTCCACTTTTATGGAAACAACTCTCAGGTCCATCAATAGGGAGGTAATTAAATCAGTCTACAACAGTGAGATAACAGAGTATCATGCGGATAATAAAAGGAACAATTTAGTTATTACTTTGGGTTTGTTTTCAGTGTGTTGATGTAATCAGTGCTGCAGTGGCTTCAGAGTGATCTACAGTTGTTTCCAAGGCGTGTGTGTGTGTGTGTATGTGTGTATGTATGTGTATATACATATATAATTTTTTTTTAATAGAGTCTCACTGTGTCACCCAGGCTAGAGTGCAGTGGCACAGTCGCAGCTCACTGCAGCCTCTGCCTCCTGGGTTCAAGCAATTCTCCTGCCTCAGCCTCCTGAGTAGCTGGGACTACAGGTGTGCACCACCACACTCAGCTCATTTTTGTATTTTTAGTAGAGATGGGGTTTCACCATGTTGGCCAGGCTGGTCTTGAACTCCTGACCTCAAGCGATCCACTCACCTCGGCCTCCCAAAGTCAAGACACATTTTTAAATGAAAAAAATGCAAGATGGAAAATAAAATTTTGTTTTAAATAAAGGAAAAAAGAAGGGAAGGAGAAAAAGAGGGAACATGTATATTGCATAGATTTTGTCTGGAAGGACACCAAAACGTGCTTGCCTTGGGGAGGGTGTCTGGATCAGATGGGAGGGAGATTAAGGTCTTATCTCTGTCCTTTTGGACCTTTTGAGTTTTAGACCACATTTACACATAATCTAAAATTAAGTAATTTTAAGACTAAGTGAATATGTTCACTATAAAAAAGGAAATATAATGGATTTTTAAATCACTTACAAAAATATTAATGCATGTAATTATATCACTGATATTCTTTTTCATTTAACTATATGTGAACATTTTGCTATGTCTTTAAAAAATATTCACAAACATCATTTTAATGCCTGAATGGTATTTCATTTAGATATAAATTAGTTAAGTATGTATATATTAATAATTCTCCATTGACACATCCATTAGGAACTCATTTTGGTGTCTTTAGTTTCCTGCTATTCTAAATAATACTGTGGGCCGGGCACAGTGGCTCAGTCCTGTAATCCCAACATTTTGGAAGTCCGAGGCAGGAGGATAACTTGAGCCCAGGAGTTTGAGACCACGAGTTTGAGACCACCTTGGTTAACATAATGAGATTCCCATCTCTGAAAAAAAATGAGCCAGGCGTGGTATAGTCCCAGTACTCAGGAAGCTGAGGCAACAGGATCGCTTGAGCCTAGGAAGTTGAGGCTGCAGTGAGCCATGATTGTACCACTGCACTCCAGTCTGCGCGACACAGCGAGACCCTGCCTCAAAAAAAAAAATAATACTATGACGAACATTTGTGTACATTTATCTTCATGTAGATCTTGGATTATTTTCTTATAATAGATTATTATAAACTGATTTAGTAGCTCAAAGATATGTAAAAAGTTGAGGTTTCTGGATACACGCTGTCAAGTCACTGCCCAAGGAGGTCTTGGAAGTTTACACTCTAACAGGGTTTGAGAATGACCCTTTTCTGACATGATTTCCAACTCTGAGGATGCTTTATTTCCCCATTTGCTGTTGTCTTTAAAGATGAGAGGGTGAGTGACGAATATAAATGTGAGAGAAAAATTAAATTACGTGTTTGTGCTTTGGATTGGAGAGCTCTCCAGAGCCATCTTTGGAGTTGCTGCTCCCTGAGGGTATACGGTAGCCAGAGCATGTTGGCCTAGTTGATGTTTTCTAGGATTGGTCTTTGAGTGTGGCATTTGCTGTCTCCATGTCCTGAGGCCCAGTGTCCTGCACTGGGCAGCTTGTAACATCAGATGGCATTGTGAGATCAAAGCCCCAGGAGACGTTCCAGCACAAAGCTGGCCTTTCAGATGGAGCTTGTAACTCCATCCCATGGTGTCAGGTCCTAGTACAAGAACACCTGCACAGCACTTCACGGTGCACGGAGGCCCTTCTCAACAGTCCAAGAAGGAACTGCTGCTCCTCCCCACAGAGGAGGGGGACAGCGGGGGAGAAGAGGGATAGGTACAAACTCCCTCTCCTTCAGAGAGTGAAATCCAGCGAGTGTGCATGGAGCGCCTGCTCTTTACCAGGTGCTGGATGAGAATCAGGAAATGGAGCAGCCAGAGCCTGTTGGCTCAGCTGGGATTAGGTTTCAGCTGGACATGGGAAAAATCCAGACCAAATTCCTGTTCCTGTGGAGCTGACATTCTA